CAGCAGCAGCAGAGCGAGCAGCAGCAGCGGCAGCAGCAGTAGCGGCAGCAGTAGCAAGCAGCAGTAGCAGGCAACATCTCCTCCTGGAGCCAATTCTCTTCTTTATCCGCACCCGAAATTAAAGGAGACGCGAACGGCAAAGACGGTGCAAATAAAATACAACCAAAGTGAAGATTGTGTGCAGGTGAGGATTGAAAACCGGAGAGCGATGTGTATGTACACACACACAAACCAGACTGTTCAAGTCTATTTAACAAAACGCATTCTGGCGAATTGCCGATGATGCTGGATGCAATTACCAGCGAAACGTCGTACTATTTTTTTATGTTGTGGTTTCACGCTTCAACGCACCGGTGGGCTAAAGTAGTGAACTATTTTGTCCTTTGTCAACGTGACACTTTTTTTACTGATTAGCCGTGTCGGGTGGTGGAGGGTTACGACACCATTGATATTATGAAAAAACGCATACTGTTTACACTTAAAGCATTTGTCGAACTCGGTGTTCAATGACGAAACAAAACCACGTCCCCAAAGGGTACATCTCCGTTGAACGTCGCGTAGTGAACGATTCGTGCAGAGAGTGATTTTCCGCGGTCATTTCACCAGCATTTGCAGCTATCTTCATCAGGCGGACAGACAGATTTGTGAAAACCCCCTCCTATATTATGGATGATATTGGTCACGAAAGCCTACGTGCTAATCTATAGATAGTCTTGCTGTAGGCCAGTGGTTTCTCAACCTTTTATTTGGCTACTACTATAGCCCCCACCCTGCCCTACATCAATGACGTCCTCCAGCCACGAATATTCATACCTGTCAACCCCTTATCAGTGCCCTACATTATCACAGACCAACTCAGACCTAATTGGCCACCCCGTGCACTTACAAATCTCATCCTTCATCCCACAAATTCCCATCACAAGGGAGAAAAACAAATAGAAAAAACTGATGATTGTTTTTTTTTTACCCTTTAATCTGGCAACAAAACTGACACCTTTTTACGAGGAGTCTGTTTGCATTGACCACAATACCTGCAGTCATAATGCATACAAAAACATAACTCTGATAATGTATGCATTGTCCTTTAAGTTGATTGGTCCACTCCCGAGACAGGCTTTCCTTAGAGCCTAGTCTCACAGGGTTGGACCAGATGACACCAAAAGGCGCACAACTCAAAGACAATGCACCCATCAGAGTATGAGAGCTCGGGGTAAGCATTTACACCATTGGTACCTCATTTGCCAGAAAAAAAACTGTTATTGTTGCCGGCATTGAAACGGCTGTACGCCGCATGAACCTGAAAACTCATTTCCCCTGTAAAACATACGGGGTAAACCGGGGGGTTGACAGGTGTGGGGTGACAGTAATGTGTATTCCATCAGGTCTCGTGAGATCTCCGACTTGCACATTGCTCGCTGGTGGCGTGACACTGGAGGGTGAGAATCAAACTCAACTCTGTAGCGCATCTTCAAATCTCGACTAAAAAACGTGTCCTCGTTAAGATGGCTTTCCGCTCTCTCTCTCTCTCCAGCTATTCTCAAATGTCTTCTCACTTCATTCTCTCCTTGGATGACGTTGAAATTTTTCCGCCTTTCGGTGCATAGCGCCACTGACAACGATTAGTTTAAGGGGAGCGTTTTATAATTTAAATTGTTGGTGAATTATAGTCGGTTATCCGGCTGCATCCAACATTATCCGGCTGTTCCGGGCCGATCCGGCGCAAACGGCAAAGCCAGTCCAAAGGCTGTAACCAGTCTGGCGATCGATATCGTGTTGCGTGAAAAAAAAGTAGCTTGATTTCAGTGTCAAAATAATCTACACTACATTATACACTGCATAGTAGATATGCCTGATTTCAGTGTCAAATATAATACATACATTATACACTACATACTAGATATGCTTGAATTCAGTGTCACATTAAATAGAGTACATACATACACAGTAGCTATTCTTGATTTCAGTGTCAAATATTATCTACGCTACATTATACACTACGCAGTAGCTCTGCTTGATTTCAGTGTAAAATATTATCTACACTACTTATACACTACACAGTAGCTTGATTTCAGTGTAAAATATTATCTACACTACATTATACACTACGCAGTAGCTATGATTGAATTCAGTGTCAATATTATCTACGCTACATTATACACTACGCAGTAGCTCTGCTTGATTTCAGTGTCAAATATTATCTACACTACATTATACACTACGCAGTAGCTCTGCTTGATTTCAGTGTAAAATATTATCTACACTACATTATACAACACATAGCTCTGCTTGATTTCAGTGTAAAATATTATCTACGCTACATTATACACTACGCAGTAGCTATGATTGAATTCAGTGTCAATATTATGTACGCTACATTATACACTACGCAGTAGCTCTGCTTGATTTCAGTGTCAAATATTATCTACACTACATTATACACTACGCAGTAGCTCTGATTGATCTCAGTGTCAAATATTATCTACGCTACATTATACACTACGCAGTAGCTCTGCTTGATTTCAGTGTCAAATATTATCTACGCTACATTATACACTACATAGTAGCTATTCTTAATTTCAGTGTCAATATTATCTACGCTACATTATACACTACACAGTAGCTCTGCTTGATTTCAGTGTCAAATATTATCTACGCTACATTATACACTACACAGTAGCTCTGCTTGATTTCAGTGTCAAATATTATCTACACTACATATACACTACACAGTAGCTCTGCTTGATTTCAGTGTCAAATATTATCTACGCTACATTATACACTACACAGTAGCTCTGCTTGATTTCAGTGTCAAATATTATCTACACTACATTATTCACTACACAGTAGCTCTGCTTGATTTCAGTGTCAAATATCTACGCTACATTATACACTACGCAGTAGATATGCTTGATTCAGTGTAAATGTTATCTACGCTACATTATACACTACACAGTAGCTCTGATTGAATTCAGTGTCAAATAATCTATCATATACACTATGCGTAGCTCTGATTGATCTCAGTGTCAAATATTATCTACGCTACATTATACACTACATAGTAGCTATTCTTGATTTCAGTGTCAAATATTATCTACGCAACATTATACACTACACAGTAGCTCTGCTTGATTCAGTGTCAAATATTATCTACACTACATTATACACTACGCAGTAGCTATGATTGATTTCAGTGTCAAATTATCTACACTACATTATACACTACACAGTAGCTATTCTTAATTTCAGTGTAAAATATTATCTACACTACATTATACACTACGCAGTAGCTCTGATGATTTCAGTGTCAAATATTACGTCCACGTGTGTCCCCTCCAGGGGTTCGCGTACCCCCCTGGAACATTGCCACGTGTACCCCACCCCCCCCCCAGGGGTCCACGTACCCCCCTGATGTTCCCCACGTGTACCCCACCCCCCCCCTAGGGGTCCACGTACTACCTCCGATTGAGACCCGCTGCATGCGCTACGGAGTGTAGCGGAGTTGCGAGAGTCAGAGGTGAGAGACGTGGGGGCGGTGAGAGCGAAAATCCAGGGGGGGTTTGGAGTCGAAATTCTGAACCCACCACACCTCCTCCTCCTCCCCTTTCCCCCTTAAGAAGAATCTAATGCATTAATCCTGCGGGTAGCCGAGCGAGTAAAGAGGAGAAGAGAGGGAGAGAGAGAGAGTGAGAGAGTGAGAGAGCGTATTTCGCTATAAATAACGCGACTATTTTCTCGGAAATGCTTGAATGGCTTCAAAGATTCTTTATTTCTTACAGGAGGTGGGCGGTGGGGATGGGGGAATGTGGTGGTGGTGTTGCTGGTAGTGGTGATGGAAGAGGTGGTAGTGGTGGTGGAGGTGATGGTGGTGGTCGAGGTGGTGGATGTGGAGGGGTTGTGGTGGTGGAGAGGTGTGTGGTGGTGGATGGTGTGGTGGTGGTGGTGGAGGAGATGGTGGAGTAGTGGTGGGAGAGTAGGTGGTGGTAGGTTGGTGGATGTGGTGGTGGTGGAGTTGGTGGTGGAGGAGGTGGTCGAGGTGGTGGATGTAGAGCAGGTTGGGTGGATGGTGGAGGAGGTGGTGGAGGTGGTGGATGTGGTGGTGGTGGAGGGGTGGTGGAGGTGGAGGAGTGGTGGAGGAGTGATTGGTGGATGTGGTGGTGGTGGAGAAGGTGGTCGAGGTGGTAGATGTACAGCAGGTTGT